TTCAAGACAAGAATGGCTACCAGAAAGCTTATAAAGTTTCCATGGCTCTTGTTCTAACTGGTTCAAACCCCAACCTCTCGTTTCTGCCAAATAATGGCATTGATTTGGCAATGGACAGCGACCAACCAGTCAATCCCAAGAGGAATCCCATAGATGTTGACCCATTCACCTACGAATGCACTCAGGAGAAAGGGCTTTATGCCCTAGGACCTCTAGCTGGGGATAATTTTGTACGCTTTGTGCAGGGAGGGGCTCTGGCTGCTGCCAGCTCTCTCTTAAAGAAAGCAAACAAAAATCCCCCCTAACAAAAAAGCCCCCCTGTGCTAACAGTGTCTGAATGGGTTACTGCTGTTTTCGTAGAGAATCTGATATGTACATCCTCAAATGTGAAGCCCACTCCTGGTATTCTCCAAGGTCCTGTGGAGAGTTACTAAGTTCTTGCTGAGTTATTTGGGAAGCCCAAGTCACCAAATGGACTTGGGAAGGTTAAGTCCCCAAATGGAGTGGGTTTTGTGGCAGTATCTTCAGTCTGTGGGGATTCAGCTCCTTTCCTGCACAGCTGTGCAGGGAGGCAGCAGGGGCATTGAATCTTGTGCCTGGAGAAGCAGGGGGCAAGCTAGTGATTGCTCTTCTATGTTAACACCTTCCAGGTAGCTGAAAATTGAATTGGGAAACAATCAAAGTCAATTATTTCCAGCCAGCCTGCTGACAGCCCTGAGTCTGTCAGTCTTGCTGTGTTTGTGATGAAACAAAACAAGCCAATGTGGTTCTGGTTGCTCCTGTGGCTCAGCTGTATGTTCTTATTAGACCAGAATTCACTGAAAGAAGTGGTATTCTGCAAATAAACTGGCACAGAAACAAGTCAAAACTGTATTATCTCACTGACAACACCAGCAAAATGTAATATATAGTATCTTTTTATTCAAAAGATTCCTGTGATTTTTTTTTTTTATTTTATTTTTTTTCCTTCGGCAAAGTGATGGTACTGAATTACAAAAATCCAGTTTGCCATCTTGCAGCTTTTTACTAACTCCTAAAATGCGATGGCCAAATTCCTGGCAGCTGCTGTAGGGACAGCAGGACTGAAGGAGAGCTACTGCTCTGCTGAGGTGCTTGTGTGGGGCTTCTGCTGCACAGAGGATTTCAGAGAGAAGCAATAAGTTGTGTACTGTAATGTGAATTTCTAACGTAATGTCATCTTCTAATAATGTTATGTATTAAGGGGAAACGGCACAGTCACTTTTTGTTGGTTTATGGTAAATAGTATGATTTTTATACTGATTTTATAATAGATTTTTCTAGCAAAGCATCTTGCTACAGGCTTTCAGTCAGTGTTTTGAATGAGTAGGGATGGGTGGAAATGATGCCTTATGTTGCCAGCAGCATTCTCAACAGACCTACAAGGCCTTGTGTACCTCTCCTAGGAGTTACAGCTAATCTTATTCAATGTAAAGACATTCTGATCCTTGTGTTGTACTGAAACTTGCTGATGTGACAGGATACTGCACATATCTCTGGAGAGCTTTGTATGTGGCTGTTCTTAAAAGAATTCTCTTCAAATTGTGCAGGGAGATGTGCAAGGAGCTTGTCTGTAGTGTTGCTGTATTGCACCTAAATGTTGTTGCCACTGACTTGTATGAAATGTTTTTCAATAAAGTGATTTCAGACTTATTAAAGCTTGTTTGTTTTTAACTCTGACTTTAAAACTCCGACCAAGACAAAATCTAATGAACTATTCTTCGTCAGCTTCCTGGCAGACACCAGAATGTGGTTTGTGCCTGTTGAACCTTGCCTCATTCCCCTCCCTCAGAGCTCAACACAGGATTTGTTTTCTGTGTATCTTTGCCCAACAGGTTGGAGTACCTTTGTAGACACTACCCTAAAGCATCCTCTCCCTCTTTGTGAGTCTAAACAATGCTACAAAAGCAAGCTATTTGCCAAGCAATTTGTTCTTGCCAAGGAGATTTCAGATCTTTCCTGTTACCTAGTATCTTCTATTGGGAGAGATCCCAAATCATGGCCTAGTCAAATAAGTTATGATTGTTTAGGTTGGAAGGGACATTTAAAGGGCTCACTTCCAACCCTACTAACACAGGCTAAGGTTTGGAGTTGGACACATTTGCTCAGTGCCTCATCAGGGAAAGCTTTCCATGTCTCCCAGGATGGAGACTCCATCTCTTTGGGTCCCCCATTCAACATTTGACTACTTTTTTTGAGATTTTTTTAAATTTATTTAAATATGTTAGCACCATTTATTTTAATGGTGCTAATCTAATTGCCTCATCCTACTGCGGTTAAAGGAGAGGTGCCCTCATGGTCCTCCTGAGCCATGTGGGAAGCTGTCTATCTTCCTCACCTTGTAACTCATCTTTCATGATGCTAGGGCACTGAGCTTCCAGGATTGTGCTATTCCTTCCCAGCAGCTGACCTTTGTTCCTTTGCTAGGAAAAAAAAAAAAATCAATAAACAATCAATGTCCACCTTTCTAAAAATAACATTTGGGGTCAGGCCTCAAATTCCTGCATCAGAAGTGAATGAACCAGAGAACAGAAGCCAAAGGGCAGCTTAAAACCATAAAGGGGCATCAGAGCATACTGGGAATAAGGGAGTTAAGGCTGGTTTTGAGTGAGTTGCTGCTCTTCCCATCACTGGAGTCAAAGTCAGTGCTCATGCTGATCGTTCCTGTACCCAGCATCGTGTTACTGTGATCTAATTTGCCCGCACAGGGGAACTCCTATCTAGGGCAGCAGCCAGTGCCTACGTCAAGGGGCTTGGGTTACCGTGTCTTAAATAGCTGGCTCTCTTGCCCTGTGTAGGACTGGAAAGGGAAGTGGTTTTTCATAACTGGTGCTTAGAAAATATCCTATGTTCTGCTCTGGAGGGCTGTCAGAGCAGCAGAACTCAGGAATGAAGTAGTGGTTCACTCATCAGCCATAAAAAGTTGTCAGGGCAGGAGTGCACGGTGCTAATCCGGGCTGCCATTCAGCTCCCTGTAGCCAGGGAGACAAATATGAATTATTGTTCCAAAACACCGGCCGTGAGAGTCAATAGATAGCTGCTTTGTTATGTGTGGCCTTCATCCGTGCGTTATAACCTTGACCTGCAGCATGTGACAGGACCAGAAAAATAAAAGTGTCTTCCTGGGCCTCCTGCACATCTCGCTCCTCCTGCAGCAGTGGCACAGCTTTGCGAGGTGCTAAATGCTTTCAGTGCTGTTTCCATTGCTGCATGCACAGCCAGCCTGGAGGTTACCTCAGTGAGTTATCTGAAGTTGAAGACTGCTCTGCTTGTCCTTCAGTGTCCTCTCTGTGCTGCCCAGCAGAAGCCTGTTGGAGCCGGTCAGGCTGGGAAGCCTCAAGTAGCTCCCTCGCTCAGCTCAGACAGAGCAGGTTTCTGGGGCTTTATTCACACCTCTGGTTGCCACCAAGAGGGGATCTCAAGAAAACCCAGGGCATCAGAAAGCCCTCAATGTCAGGCACACATTTTCTGTCCTTTGGGGCTGCTCAGCCTCCTTTAGTTCCCTCCACAATCCTACTCCATCCCCAGCTTTTGTCCCTGCAGAGCAAGCTCTGGAGACCCACTGGAACAATGGAAACTTCTGTTGCCAGAACAGAAACAAGGATTTGAAGACTTTATCAACAAGATAAAAAAGAGAACTGTGGGGTTTTTGTTTCTTTTTGTTTATTTTTTATTTATTATTACTATTTTTTAATAATTGTGCTGGTGAGCCCTTGTAGTCAAGGCTGGTGTGTTTTAAACAAACACACTTGCGGGTGTGGCAGAAATGACTGTACAAGTCTGAACCCAGGTACCTCATTGTGCAATTTGCTTTGTACTAACAAACTGACTGCTTCGACTTCTTGGTTTGGTGGAGGACTTAGGAGATGTTGGAGCATGTTCATTGTGAGCTTTTGCTTTTTAGAAGGGCCCATTTCTTTAAAAAGAGCCACCTTATATGTACATGGATTGAAATTATTTCAGTGGAATAGACTTAGGGAAAAAATGGGTTGTTCAGCCTTCACTTTTTGGCCACATTTCTGTCTTTCATTGAGTACAGGACTAAATCCAGCCAAGTCCTGGCCAGACCACTCTGTTTAAAAGGTCTTTAGAGCATTAGGACAGATGGCAAGCCCGACGACTGCGTAAGTCTCAGACTTACCGAGAGCCTTAGGGAGCTGTTGGACTATTGCAGATCGTGGTGGCTTGGAAGGAGCTGCGGAATTTCCCAGCTGGGCAGGCCACCAGCCAGAGCACTGCTGATCACTGCAGCTCAGCTGACAGCTGCTGGGGTTGTGCTAAGCTGCGTGCCATGGGGGGGACATGGGGACAGAGCATGGGGGGCTATGCTAGCACGAGGGGTTTCAAGCTGGAGCCAAGCCTGCCTCTGCCTTGCAGGGCTCTGAAGCAAGCCATGAGGGTAAAAGCAAGCTCCTGGCTAGAGAGTGGCCAAGTGAGGAATAACAGAAGGGAAAGCAAATTTTGTTATTATTATTATTTTGCTGTTGTTGAGCAAGTCCTGCCTCCTGCCAGAGCCACGAAATCTGCACAGATCTGCTGTGCAGGAAGGGTCATTTTGCTCTGGGAACAAGCCCTGAGGACCAAACCTGGGTCCTTACAGAGCTCAGAGGCAGAGAAATTCTTCTCCAAGTGAGAAGCAAAACGCCTCAGGGCATTTTGCCACATGAACATGCCCTCCTGCTCCATACAGACACCCATCCAGCACCTTGCCCAAAGCCCCACTAGCACAGAGGAGAGGGGCTGCACAGACAGCGTCCCTGCCTTTCTGCAAAAGAAGCAGCATGGATTTCATTTTCCAGCCCAATTTTTGCAGTCACAACTTGGAAGCGCTGCTGTCGGCTCTGTCTGATTTTACGGCCACGCTGGAGCAGAGGGAAAGGGGGGGAAATCCTGAGTCAGGCAGCACGCACGGGGAGTGTGACCCTGCTCAGTAACCAGCACCACCGCCAGCCGGGGAACCCTGCCTGCGAGGTGAAAGCACTGTTTATTTAAGATATTTCCCCTGCAGGTGAATTTCCACAGCTCAGGCTCGCTGGAAAGGGGCTGGCGAAATAACCGCAGGAGCCACTTTTGGGAAGCGGGACACATCCAGGCCGCTTGGTTGCAGCCCAGCGACCTGCGGCAGGTAAATACAGGCTGCGGTGTCAGAGCAGGGCCAGGTCAGGGGGATTTGCGGGGTGAAATAGTGGTTAAAGGCGAGCTGGGGGTGGCGAGGTGCTGCAATAGGTCTGGAAAGGGGTTGCGAGGGTGTAAAGTTACTGCTGGCGGCAAGCTGTGGATTTTGGGGTATTAATATTGGGTAAGGCTCCAAGCTGGAGCTGCACTTTTATAGCCCACTGAGCGCTTTGCCAGGGAGGCAAACACAGAGCAGAGGACGAGCAAAGGGCAGGACGAAATCACTCCTTTAATGGCAACGAAATAGAAAACTGGTGAACCAGGAGAGCCGCGCTTTTTTATGAGACCACAGGCACAGTTTCAGGCCTAAAACACACATTTCTTCTGGAGAGCTGGCCCAGCAGAGCAAACCTCATTTGCAATTTGGCATTAATACCCCAGTATCCAGTGTTACCGTAACTCGAAGTCAGCAGAGGTCTCAGAGGGAGGGATAGCTTTCAAGGCTCGTGAACTGACCCATATATCTTTCAACTGGAAAAGCCAGGAACTTGTAAGTCAGGAAAAAAAAAAAAAATCATAAAAAACTCCTGGCTGTTCTTCTGGGGTAATAAATGGACTTTACAGTTTAAACGTGCTGGGAGTACCAGACTCAGCCTGTCCCTTGCAGCCCCTGGGGCATCCACCTTCAGCATCCCCTTGCTTTTATTAGATCCTAATGTTTAAATTGAAACATATATTACCATTTATTACCCCAAAAAAACACCAAATTCAGCCCATCCCTTGCAGGACCATCCTGTCTGGGGACCAAAGATGACACAGGGGCTATACTCCCTCATCCAGCAAGGAGAAAATGGCAAGAAAAGGTGCATGAGGGGCATCATGACAGGCCAGAGAGGGGTGGAGAACGTGGGGGGAGAAGTTTGTCTTCCCATTTGCTCTGAAATTTGGCTGGGCCAGGCAGTAACGCTCCACTCACACTGCCTGGCAGCTGGAGGTCTTTGGAAATAGAGGCAAAAAGCAAAAGGTGGCAGCTGCCCTCCTGCCTCGGGACTGGTGGCATGCAGGGGGAGGATTTGCCTTTTGGCCTCACAGGTGCAGAGCGTCTTTCATGCTCCTTTGGGCTGAAAAAATCCTGATGTTGCATCTCAAAGGCAGCAAAAGAGGTTTCGCCTCGCTCCACCAGGCAGGGGCATTGCCCCCAGTGCAAGGTGCTCAGGGCTGCACGTGGGATGCTGCTGCCCTCGCAGGGCTGCAAAAAGAAGGGACAGCGAGCCAAGCTGCACAAAGGTAACTTATCAGTGTTGTTTCTAAGCAAATATGAACTGGTGGCAAGTTTATACCATGTGAATCCCTTGTGCTGTGCAGCTGCGTTTTATTTTCTTTTTGGTAATTATTTATTTTAATCTGCTCATTGGGATGCCAGGGCTGGATTTGCTGCTCTATCAAACCACAGCCTGGGAAACAAGGTGGCTGCAGCAGATGCTGATGTGCTGTAGCTCGAGGCTAAGGGGATTTTGTGGCTGATGCTTGATGCTTTCTGAACAGCTTGGTAGGGCGATGCACGCCCCGGGCACCGCTCGCGTGCTCCTCTGTGCCTGATCGCCCCTTTGGGGCTGAACCTTGCACAGCCACCATGGAGTGTGCCATTTCTGTACAACCTCTAGCCAGAAGTCACTTAAAAATAGCTCATGTCCACAAGCTTCCCCTAATTGTAAGCCCAAATGTTGCAATCAAAGTTTTCCTTGAGCCCTTTCCAGCACCTGTTTGCCAAACTCCTCTTCACAGGGGCTGCTCTATCAGCTTTCCTGTAAAGGCTGCTCTCATCACAGCATCTCTGGCAGCTGCCCAGGGAATTAAGGTGACTAACAAGCAATGAGGCACAGGAGCTGGGAGAGGGAATTGTTTGGTATGAATGGATTACACGTGATTCACACCATCCCAAGTGACCTGACTGCAAAAATGCCACATCCCCCATACCACACTTTTGCAAAGTTTGAGCAAAGGGAAATTTCTCACGAGTGTGAACAACTTGGCAGCAGTTTTGCTGGCTGGAATACAACTGAGCTGGCTTAGGAAGCTGAATTAAGGCAACATGTTAAACCAGGCACCAGGCAATACAGTGACCTGATCAAATGCATTATAGTAAGAAGTATACAGCTCAGTGCTTTCCCACCTGGAAAATACAGCTTTAAAGTACTCCCTCTGTCATACACAGAGATGGAAGTAAGAAATTTCAGAAACTTTCCAGTAGAAATGGAGGAAATTTCCAATAAAAATAGAAAACCGGTGTTTGATCTGGGATTTATGCCAGAGTCTCAGTCTCAGTGTTCTGACACCGTGGGAAATGCTGTGACCTCTGGGATTTTGGAGCAGACTTTTGGTTCCCTTTTTTTGGCTAATGTTTCCCCTTCCAGATTTGTGTTTTGCTAGATCTGGTTTCTTGCCTGCATAATCCTGGTTTTGATGAAACCATGTTTTTAAGAAGCAAAGAAAGTCCCCAGTGAGTGGTGCTGAGTCCGCTCATGGCCGTGGTTCCCCAGGGGCACACCGAGCAGCAGGCAGCCCCACGGGAACGGCAAAGCCTCCATCTGATCTTCTGCCTCTCTCCAACAACAGACCTGGTGAGCGAATTTGAGAAAGCATTTCCCCTTTTTCAATAAAATTTTCATCGAACTTCCCCAAATTTGGCTGGCATTGTCCCCCAAAGGAAAATGGAAATCCCAAATTTATAATGCTTCAAATGGATGCTGTGAAGCAGGTGGCTGACTTCTGCTCCTGATTTCCCAGGGCACTGCATAGAGGTGGTGGGTTTTAGGTACACCAGGGGTGAGCTGCTATGAGCCAGCCCTTTCATCACCCCTTGGTTTCTATCCTTTTAACACAAACCCTTATTCTTTTAAAGAAAGGAGCACAGAGAGCGATGTGGGTCTCCAGCACGCCCCATGCGTGATCCTCTTGGCTTGGCAAAAGGCAGCCCAAGGCCACTCCAAGGAGCTCTGGACGGATGGACATGCCATTCTGTACGTCGTGTGGCTGTCATCTGGAAGCTAACATAAGTAAGTTCCTGTTCCTGAAAATATAAATACACATAAATAAACTGTTTTCAGGAAGATGCAGAAGCAGGTGTCTGAGAAAAAGATAAAGCTATATAAACAAACACTGCCTGCTGTAGTACTCCAAAGGTCTCATCTACTGAATAATCTGGATATGACATCACTGGAGAGCTGGACGAGACCTGGCAAAAAGAAATGTTCTCACCTCGAAACAAAGGCGAGCAAATCCAAGGGCTTGGAACCAGTTCGTTCCCAGGCTGCCTGGCCCTTGTGACCTTCCTTGCTCTCTGTTACATCCATTTCCAACAAAACTTTTTTTTTCTTTTTTTTTTTTTTTTTCTTTCTTCCCTTGCCTTTAAACAATATAATGGATTCCCCTCCATCCGAATTTCAGGAAATGGCTCACTGGAGAGGAAGCGCCGTGGCTCTGCTGGAGCAGATTCCTGCCTGCAAGCCGAGCGTGCGCGAGAAAATGATTGGGCTTTGAAAGCAACCCCCCAGCTGGAACAACACGTTGCTGCTCCGGTCGAATGTCATCACGGATGAACTGTCTTTCCCCCTGAAATCATGTGAGTAGTCCCAATGGTCCTCGGATAGTGCACTGATAAAGGAAATGGAAAAGCACAGGAAAAAAAGTGCTCATTCTGCTAGGAGCTGAGTGTTTGAGCCCCAGACCCTCCCTCTTCCCAGGGCCAGGAAGGACCGATGGCTCCTGCCTGCTGAAGGACCTAATGTTAAGCACTTTCCATACAGAAATGTAATTTCCATTTTCCTCTGATCCCCTAACACTCAGATTTATTGGGATAATATTTCATAAATTGTTTACTTTGAGGATTATATTAGATGGAAAAAGCCCAGCAAGAATGGTGGTGGCTAGACATGTGAGTTCAAGAAAACACATGGAAGAGGTGAATGGGAATGTCACTGCTGAGATGGGATATTTATTTTTTTAAGGTCGTCTTGGTCCCCATAAACCAGGGCTGGTCCAAGGCAGCAGATGATGGGGACATTTTATCAGGGATAAAAGTGATAGAACAAGGAGTACTGGCTTTAAACTAAAATAGGGTAGATTTAGATTAGATATAAGGAAGAAATTCTTTACTCTGAGGGTGGTGAGGCACTGGCACAGGTTGCCCAGAGAAGCTGTGGATGCCCCATCCCTGGAGACATTCAGGACCAGGCAGGATGGGGCTGTGGGCAGCCTGGTGTGGCAGGAGGTGTCCCTGCCCATGGCAAGGGGTTGGAATTAGATGATCCTTAAGGTCCCTTCCAACCCAAACCATTCTGTGATTCTATTATGGGATGGATCCTTCAAATCATACGACTAGGTTCTTTCATTTCATAATGGGTAACATCAGGTTCTTGCTGACGGAAATTCAGCATCACTCAGGTTTGAGGTCAGAGCATAGCTATTCATGCACAGAGACGTGGTTTGCCGGTGATGGTTACCTCATGCTGACAGCCTTTAATTTAATAAATTCAAACCAGGCTGACTGAGCACATAATGGTGGAGACTCAACAGGCTCACTTTCTCAATGCCATTTCTCAGCTCAGATCTTCTTGTTCCTCCCTAGCTCTCACAGGGCTCTTGTCTTCAACTGTGGTTTGCAACAACTTTGAATCTGTATTAAGTCATTCCCCTTGCCGTCCCCAAATATCTTTCTCCTGAGGCATTTGATCACGCCCCGAAACCACTATCTGAACATGGTTTATTTATTTTTGTTTCTTTTCTGATTGCTCTTAAAATAATAAATGGGAATTACATTTTCAATCAACAGTCCACCCTAGGAAATCTGGCTGCCGGACAAGTTTGGCTTTGAAATCCTTATAGAGGCAGCAGGTAGCAGCCACCCTGCCCGATAAGAAGGCTCTGACGTATTGTAGAGCAGCTCAGCAAACAGGAGGCTCAGAGTGGGGAGATGAAGGAAAGCCTTCAAAAGTGTAAAAGGCCAAAAGAGGATGAGCCTGGATCAAATGAGCTGTTTGAGCAAATGTCCTCGGGGGTTCATCATAAGTGGGCTGGGGGATTTTAGGGGTGCTGGTGTGTCCCACGTGGTCCTGCAGCAGCTGAACACACTCTGAGGGCTGTTTCCATTCTACAGGTCTTGTTCTCCTTTATATAGGGTGTTCAGCACATTCATGAGTGAGATTATTACAGTGAGCTGGGAAAAGATCTCGCTTTTTGTTAAAAATGCATTTTCCTCCTGCTGCCCAACGTCTCCTCTCCAGCCTCAGGGGAAGGGCTCGGGCTGGTCCCTGCTGAATTTTCAGCCTTTTTTCACACACCTTTTTTCTTTCCAGCTCTTCTCTCCACTTCCCTTACTGTGAACTTTACTTCTGTGGTGCTTTTACTCAGGTGGGCAGCCAAGCTCCACCTCAGCTGCTCTCTCACTCCCCCTCCTCAAAAGGAAAGGGGGAGAAAAATACAATGCAAAAGGCTCAAGGGTTGAGATGAGGATGGGGAGATAGCTCAACAATTATTGTGACAGGCAAAACAGACTTGGAGTAGGGAGATAGAAAGATTTATTGCCTATTACTAACAAGCTAGAGAAGTGAGAAACAAAGGAAAGAAACTCAAAACGCCTTCCTCTCCTTCCCCTCATCCACCCTTTTCCACCTCTTCCCCCTGAGCGGTGCAGGGAAATGGGGGAATGGGGGTTATGGTCAGTCTATAGCGCTTCATCTTCACTGTTCCTTCTCGGTCACTCTCATCCCCTGTGCCATGGGGTCCCTCCCACAGGATGCCGTCCTTGCTGAACTGATCTGTGTGGGCTGCCCACAGGCAGCAGCTCTTCAAGAACTGCTCCCACACGGCTCCGTACCACAGGGTCCATCCCCCAGGAGCAAACTGCTCCAACCTGCGTCCTCCTCAGGCAGCAGCTCCCCCTAAAACCCCCTGCTCCTGCATGGGCTCCTCATGGGCTGCAGCTACGGTCCGGGGCCTGCTCCAGCAGGGGTCCTCCACAGGCGGCAGCCTCCGTTGGTGCAGGGCCACCTGCTCCACCGTGGTCTCCTCCACGGGCTGCAGTGTGAAACCCTGCTCCACCGTGGTACTCCATGGGCTGCAGGGGGACATCCTGCTTCACCATGGGCCTCACCGCAGGCCGCAGAGGACTTCTGCTCTGAGGTCTGGAGCACCTCTCCCCCTCCTTCTGCACTGACCTTGGTACCTGCAGAGCTGTTTCTCACTCCTCTCACTCTCCCAGCTGCTGTGTAGCAGCGTTTCTTTTCTTTTTTTCCCTTTCTTAACTCTGTTCTCACAGAGGCGCAAACAACATCACTTATTGGCTCGGCTCTGGTCCTTACCTAACACGGGGCAGCTTCTGGATTCTTCTCACAGAAGCCACCCGTATAGCCCCCTGCTACCAAAACCTTGCCATGTAAACCCACTACAACTTCCATAATGGCTATTCAGCACAGGGCATAGGTGAAAAGCCTTGAGCTAATTCAGGCTGGGAGTTTATTGATCCCCTGCCCAGGGCAGTGGAGGAGTCCCCATCCCTGGACGTATTTAAGAGGCGTGTGGATGTGGCAGTGAGGGATGTGGTTTAGTGCTGGGTCTCGGTAGGCCAGGTTGGCCCTGTGATCTAGAAGGTCTTTTGCAACCTCTCTGATGCTGTAATTCTGTGTTTCTATTGCTGCCTATTTACACAGGCTGGGACCGTGCACCCCAGGCCTGCCAGCTTACCTCAGTGGCACAGCTGGAAACTGAAAAACTTCCTGAAGTGAGCTCATACTTTTATTTCAGCAAAGATTTAAAGAAAACTTTGTTTATTTATTGAAGGAACAGACCCAATCACAGCCTCCTGGCCACTGTATCTAATCTGCCTGTCAGTGGTGGAGGGCACTGCCCATGCTTCTAGAAAGGTTGCTGCTGGTCCTGGGCCAGACTCTGACTGAAACGTGTTGTATGGGGAGCTGGGTTCAGGACATTGCCGTGTGAGCCTCCACGACAGACTGAGCACACGTAGCCATTCTTTCAGAAGGAGGGTGGACATATGATGACTTTATGCTGTCATAACCCCAGAAGTCATCCAGAGGACTTCTTCTTGGCAGGTGGACCTAGAAAAGCACCACACTATTCTGTCAGCTAAGGTTTTTGTATTTTGTTTTAAAAATGGACGATTCAGTACTTTTTGCAGCCTGCTAGAGCACTGGAGTCTCCAGCAGGGGTTGTAGGAGGCAGTTTTGCTATCAGAGTTGTTGTGATTGCCAGCCTGGAGGTTGCCAGCACCAAAGAACATGAATAAGAGCCATAAACAAGGGCTGGAAAAGGGAATAAGGGAATGGTTTAGTAGGACAGCACTACCCCTATGGCTATCCCCCCCCCAAAAAAAAAGAAAAAAAAAGGCTCAAAAGAAATGACCAACTTGCCAGTACAAAAGGCATCAAGTTTGAAAGCATCAAGTCTTGAAAGCATCAAGTCTGTCCCATTTTGTTTTTACAAGTTTGAGACAAATAGCTAGAAATGCTTCATAGGCATGAAGGACACACGGTGAGATGGGGAGTGTTGCACTGAGAATCTGTGTGCTGGAGGTCAAATGGGTTTTAAGGTTATGATGAGCTTCTGGAGTCGCTTGCTATAAACCTAGAGACAAAGGTGAAATATTACATCTTCTGTGCATTGGGGAATTCCCTCTGAAATTCCCCAGAGATGAAGGGAATCCCTTTATCCCTTTGGAGTTATAAAAATATTTATTTATTTTTATGGTTTGTTTTGTTTTTCCATGATCTTCCAGAAGATTTGCAGAGCTGATGGCTGCACACAGTGACCCTGCAGCAGGAACAGCCAGCGGGGCTTTGCCAAGATGCACTCAGTGTTTGCAGTGAGGTGATGTGGAGATGTTCACTGCCAGGTTTTTTGGGCATCACATTATGTAATTACCTGGGCATGGGCTGTGCAGACACGTCTTCAAGGAGATTACCAGATGTCTTGCAAAAACCAAAGCACCAATCTAGACTTGCACGGGGTGGGAACGCTGTCAGGGCAGGTTTTTGCCAGGAAATAGTTTGGGGCTTCTGAAGGTGTGACTCAAACCCTAATTAAAAGCATAAAAACCTGTGTGCATGATATGGGGTGGATCTGGCAGTGAGGTTAGAGTTGGGATCCTGCGTTTTGGCCAACAGAGGGGGACAGCAGTGGGATGGGAGCAGGGGCAGGTAACAGCATATAATTTTCCTGGAGTTATTTAGAAACTTGTAACAATTTTGTCAATACCTATGCTTTTAATAAGTTTCCAAAAAGAGAAGGAAAGACAACTTTAAAAATACTGTTTTATTTAATTAAAAACTCCTTAAATCAACGTTTGTTTTTTGAAACATAAATGTACTTTTCCTTGGTTTTTTTCTTTTCTTTTTTTTTTAAGTATTTTGACTTTTCCTTTTGACAAGTCGGACCTGCCCTCAAACAGAAGCAAAAGGAGCACTAGAAGCATAAGCAGTCTGCAAAGAGAAGTGAAGCGTTTGGCTGTGGGTTGCACAAAGTGCCTGTGGCCAGCCCAGAAGCACTGGATGGACTGGGTCACCCCAACCCGCACCTATACACGTTTTTATCTTGGTTTTAAGCCCG